TCTATTTGTTATTTATATCTACCTTTGAGATTGGGCCTTAGGGAGAGTATGTTTTCTGAAATAAGTAGTGCTATTTACTCCCATCTGCATGATAGCCTGTATGCTCTGCTTATATTAAGAATAAGCCTAGGCTCACATGTGTGCAAAAGTATGTTTATAGCAAATACGTCGTGCAAGTTTCAGGCCCAAAGACATCTTTTCCTAAACTAAATCAGAACAAGGTAAATATTCATAATTCTTGCACAGTCGAGGTAAGACAGTGTCATCTAATTCTTGATTGAAAAGAAGTTTAAATGAAATCTCATTATTGCCATTAATGAGAAGGTGGTGGTGTTGAGAACGCAATCCTAACTTTAGGAGGGGTGTGGGTGCCTGTGCTTCTCTCCCTGTTGGGATGCCTTCAGGCTGGGCAATGAGGTTGTGACAATGGCTGGGAATTCAGCTGTGTGCTCTTAGAGATAAGCCAGGTAGAGAATCAAGGCAGACTAAGAGATCATGATCGACCCTTTATAGATTCCTGGGTTTAGGGAGAGGCAGGAGTTGAAAGTTTCAGAGTGGAGTAAAAATCCCCTGATAATTGAGGCTCTTCAAAATCAGTTTCTTGGGCTCTTCAAAATCAGTTTCTTGGGCTGGCCCGTGGCTCACTCGGTAGAGTGTGGTGCTGGTAACACCAAGGCCACGGGTTCGGATCCTATATAGGGATGGCCGGTTTGCTCACTGGCTGAGCGTGGTGCTGACAACACCAAGCCAAGGGTTGAGATCCCCTTACCGGTCATCTTTTTAAAAAAATATATATATATTTATTGAGCACCAGCTACTGTTCTAGGATCTTGGGATAAACCAGTGAACAAAAGAGATGAAAAAATCCCTCCCTTCGTGGAGTAGTGGAGAGAGAAGACAGTGACCCAATGTGGCAAATAAGTTAATTATGAAGATCTCTAAGTGACCAGTGCCTGGTGCCAGCACGCTGTTTCCTCCTCTGTGAAATGAAGGAGTTGGACCGGATTGTTCTGGAGGTCCCTGCAGGTTGGCTCTGTGGGCTGCCCAGGCTCCTGCTGCCTCCAAGCCAGCCCTTGTTCTGGGGACCAGGACCCCGGTGTGTCCTGTACCTGGAGATTGGATGCTGTAATTTGGCATGTGAGCTCTGAAGAGATTGTCTAGGTGGAAATCTGGATCCCAGCACACGCTAGCTGTGTGCCCTGGCCCCGTGGTTTAACCTGTCTGGCCTCGGTTCTCCCATCTGTCAAAGGGAGACAGTGACGGTACTAGCCACACTGGGTGGCTGTGAGAGAATCTGATGAACTAAGGCATGTAGCCCTTAGCATAGGATAAACATTAACTCTTGTTATCATTGTTGTCTGTCACCCATCAGTGACCTCCTTTCCGGCCTTAAACAGGTCTTCCTACCTACCCTCCAGTTAAGTTAGACCTTGTTAGCCTTTTGAAACATCACTTTGGACATGTGCATCCTGTCATCACTTCCTCCGGGAAGCTGCCCTGGATATGCATGTTTCTTTTTCCTTCTGTCCCCCTCTCCCTCTTTCCTTTCCTCTGCATGGTTGTCTCCACTTTTGGTCTTAGCCGAAAGCTTAGTCCCGACGCCATGTCCATCTTCTGTCCAATCTCGCCAGGCCCTCCTGGGTGGCCCAGTCCCCTTGACCTTCTTTTGTGGTGGTAGAATCGAAGGCATGGATCTTCTCCAAACAATGGTCATCTGAAACCCTCAGAGAATGTCCTGATGGCTTCCCTTTGGCTCAGGACAGTTCCAACCCCTGTTTTCCCAGTTCAGCCAGCCCAGGCTGAGTCTGAGAAATGCTTGCCTCCCCTTGGCCATGATGGTGGACACCATGGTCCTGGGGCTGGGGCACGGGCTGCCCAAGGATAAGAGGAAGTTCCCAGGAGAGAGCCAGAGCCCTGAGGGAAGCTCAGAGATTCTTGCCTCTTCCCCAGAGTGACCCCCACTCTGTTTTTTTTCTGTCCTGCAGACACTACCCCAAGCAGTCCTTCACCATGGTGGCCGACACCCCGGAAAACCTCCGCCTGAAGCAACAGAGCGAGCTCCAGAGTCAGGTGAGGGGACGGGGCTGGTGCTGTGGCCTGCTGGGGACAGCTGGTGTAACTCTGGATTTGGCAAGGGCTCCTTCCCCCTGTGGTTACTCAGCAAGGCCAAGGTGCTGAAACCCTAGCAGTTGCCTTGGCTCCACCCCCGCACCCAGGTACTTCATATTTCTGGACTCTATCAAAGGAGTGGGGGAGAGCATGCCCCCCTCCTACCTAAAGTGGGTGGGAGAGGCGTATGGGTCTGTCTGATTCTGCTCTGGGGTCCCCTAAGGCCCGTCTCCTCCAGGAAGCTGTTTCCCTCCCCCTCGTCTCCATGGACATCTATCCACAAAGGAGGGACTTGGGGGAGACCAGGCAACTCTCCTGTCCAGGCTTATGCCAGTTTAAGGTTACACAGCCCACCCTCTCTAACCATGTCCCCAAGCCTTCGCCACCCCTTGGAGGGCAAGGTATGAAGGGGGCTTTGCCATGGGGTCCTGCCCTGCCTTTGAGCACTGCTGTGTAGGAAGAGGTACATGCTCCTCTAGCAGGGCACGTGGGGAGGAGACGTGTTCCTAGCCTGGGGAGAGCTCGGTCTTTAGGGGACACTGAGGAATAAGCCAAGGGTCTGGAGCCGTCAGACCAGCAACAACTAACCATGCCTGGGGGTTGGGAGGGCTTCTGGGACAAGCCTGGCCTGCAGTGTGGTGGGGCGGGGCGGGGCTTCAGCAAGGATTAAAGGATTAATTGAAAGAATACATGCACTGTAAGGGAATTTACTGAGGGCAGGGGGCCCAGGGTCAGGAAAGTGCTGCAGATATGCCACCTGGGTCATACAGGGGGAATCTCTTCTAATCCCGCCAGAGTGGAGTTCCTCCTGCCTGGTCTTGACATGACCTCCATGGGTCCTGCCGGAGAGAAGCAGCGCCACCCTGTGTAGGGCTGCCGGGCATGTAATTCTCTTACTGTGAGGAAGGTGCTGTTTTTCCCCTTGCACAGATGAGGCACCTGAGGCTCAGAGACATTAAGGGCCTTTCTGAGATCATGCAGGTTGTACTGGAGGTAATAATGGCATCAACAGCTCACGAATTAAGTGCTCAGTGCTCCGGGCGTATTAGCTCACTTAATCCTCACAGCAGCCCCGTGCAGTTGGTAGGATCGCCCCACTTTGCAGGAGGGGAAGTAGATGCTCGTGACCTGCAATGCAGGTTTGTCAAACGCTGAGGTTTGTGTTCTTTCCGGTTTTCCACCTGACTCCTCTAAGGAGAATGATCTCTAGTAATAAACATGATTGTCCTTTATGCAGATGGGGACTTCTGTAGCTTAGCGAGTGCTTTTATTTATTTATTTATTTTTAAAAGATGACCGGTAAGGGGATCTTAACCCTTGACTTGGTGTTATCAGCACCGCACTCTCCCGCGTGAGCCACGGGCCGGCCCTTAGCGAGTGCTTTTAGCTACCTCACAGCATTGATCATTGACTCAATTCTAGGGTGCAGGTAGAAGACCTGTCATCCGCATTTTACATGGGAGGGAACCGAGGCTGAGAGAGGCACAGGGCTTTGCCTGTTGACGCACACAGTGAGTGAGTGAGGGTCCAGGATTTGGGCCTGGTCCTCTCACTGCCAAGCCCCAGTGTGGTGCCCTTGACCACACTGAGGCTCAGGCCTCCTGTGTGTTCCACAGTCAAGGAGAGCAAGTGGGGGGATCTGTTTTGTCCCTCACCAGCCGCTCACATCTGCCACCCCACTCTGCTGCAGGACAAAAGCTGCAGTTATTGGGGGAGATGGTGTGCACAGTGGACCTCTGCCAACTGAGGGGGACTGGGTGGTCCAGTGGGCAGGGAGAGGGCTCTGAGACAGACGGCTGCCAGAGCAGACCCTAGACATGTCCTGACTAGTGCCTAGGACTCCACATCCTATGAAAGGCTGGTTCAGGCCAGAGGTGCAGTGTCAGAGGGACCTGGAGGAAGAGGGCTGGGAGGAGACGGTAGGTACTCAGAAAAGGTGCAGGGCGGGCCGGCCCGTGGCTCACTCGGGAGAGTGCGGTGCTGATAACACCAAGGCCATGGGTTCGGGT